ATATTGTAATTATTTCTGCTGTTAGTTTTGATTATTTATTTATTTCAAAAAAAAGGGCTTCAAAAAAATACAATGTAAATCGGCTTACCTAGTCTTAGAGACCAGGTGCCATCATGACTCCTGTGGTGGGATTTTGGGTCGTGACAAATCCAGTCCAAACAACCTCTCCAATCCACCTTGGCAATTCATGCCACTCCCTTTAAACCAATAGCAGCGCACCACGTCACCCATCTCTAACACACACAAAAGAAACACAACAGATCTAAGCCGTCCTTTCCTTGGATCAACGGCTCACGATTTGTCTCCATTTTCTCTTTAAATTAAAACACTCATCAGATTTAATCATAGCCGTTGGATCACAAGAATCCAACGGCTACCAAAATTCCTCAATAAAACATTTAAACCTAGAATTGTCAGGACCGTCAATCTAAAAGATCAACGGCCCATATCTTTTTCCCTAACCTTACCCCTAGAGACGGCCTCCTAAACCCCTAGCCCTAAATCATTACTCCCTTGACCCCGCCACCCTCTTTCCCTAAACTCACTTTTCTCTCATCCGTCTCTAGCCCATTAATCTCAAATCCTTGCACAAATTTGTATAAGGTCACACAAATCAAACCCCAAATGCTCAATCTGCCTCCTTATCCGCGAATCCCGCTGTTATTTTCCTCTTTCAATCACTGGAATTGGAACGTCCAGTTCTGAAACCCTAAGATCAAAACACTATTAATCTGATTTTTTCCTTGTTCTTTCAAATCAAAACATATAGAACCACTCATCTTGTCCCTGGGCTATGAAGCCTGTTGTTCTCTTTCCGTTTCACCGATGAAATTTCAAAAGCCCCAATTATGAAATCACAGACCAAAATGTGAAACTTGAAATCTTCTGATTTCTCTCATGATCCATCAAATCGGGGCATGCATGGAGCTTCTGCAGAGGTTTTACCATGATAATTCATTACCCAATAGTCAAACGCAGTAACCTTTGGGTTATAGAGTTTATCCGATAGGTCTTCATCTTCAGCAACCAATCTCTCATCACTCAGGTAAAATCTATCTCTGTTTTTATCTCTGTTTCCCCTGATTTCACTCAATTTGCTTGCATCATCTAGTGGTCGTCATTCTCTACTACCATCACTTGAATCTCCTGAAACCCTAAGGCTCAATGGCCACTATAAATAGGGGCCTTAAATACTATCACCAAAGGGACCTAACCTAACAAGAATCAAAATCTTATACGAATTAACGATTTAGAAGCCTAGGTTTCTTTTTTGATTAATTTCTATTCTCTTCTATTTTCGAGTTCCTTCACTGCTCAAGAGTTTGAAACTTTGATTCTCATACGGCTAAGTTAAAATCCTGTTTGGTTTGCTGCCCAAGAAGAAGTCAGTACACCTCCATCCTTTTTCTTTTAATTGCTTCATTCAAAAATCATGAACATGCTACTGTGTTCCTGTTAACTTCTTTGTTTATAATGTTTATTCAGCCTTTAATCACTTATTTTTGTTCACTATGACTTGTTAATAATCTATATAGGTTGTTTTATTTGTTTAATGTTAACTAGGCAGTTGTATGACTTTAATGAATTCAATTTCTATACTAAACAGCATATGTGTTTAAGTTGTTTAACCTGATGATTTCTCATATTTTTGCCTAAAACCTCAGACCTCGCTCTAATGTTCGGTTATGATCACCATGTTACATTTTGAGTTTTGTTAATGTCTTGTTGCAACTTTCATAATTTTCATAATGCATTTTGAGTTTTGTTCCACCTAATGCTCTATTATGACCTTCATGCTTATCATGTTATATTCTTAATTCTATTCCACTTGATGTTTTTTATTATAAGTCCTCATGACTCATTATGTTGTGTTCTTCTAAGTTTTGTACTTAGATTCTGTTATGGTCATCATGCTTAACATGCAACACCCTTCTAAGTTCTGCTATCCTACTTAGGTTCTTCTGTTCATCATGCCATATCCTTTGAGTTCAATCATGCCATACTTAGGGTTGTTACTGCAGTCTCCATGTTTAGTATGCCATGTCCTTTAAGTTCTGTCATTCTAAACTTGGGATGTTATCAGATGGTTTTAGCTAGGATATATATGGAATGCATAGGATAACCCTGCCTCACTAAGTTAAGACTTATGAGATCCAAGTATTAAAAATACGTTCACGAATGTTTATTAACCCTTAAGCATCATTTGAACCTTCATTATGAATGCTTTTCATTCATACCTAACTATTAGCTTGTAAGCAGTCCTACTCGGATGGATCCTCCTTTGAATGTCATTAATAATTGTCATGATCAGTCTATCTTTTGTAAGTCAGTCTATAGTTGTGCCGTATTGATTATTTATGTAATCTGAATATAACTTCATCATGTTTAGCTATTCAATCGAGCCTGTATAGCTAATTTGAGTCTATTAAGTGTGATGTCTCCCCCTGTCCTTAACCCCTAATGATGCTTACAACCAGATCCTTCACTATTTGGGATTCATCATGTCTTGTAAAGTCATAATCTTGATTGAAATCTCTGTGTGTTGGGGGGGTTTGGTATGAACTGCATTTATCCTCCATGACTTCCCATTTTGAACACTGTTTTAAACATATACTCAGTCTTTATCTTTCCTTTGTTATTCTGGATTGAACTTGGTGTAAGGGAAACCTTTTTACTGTTGTTTGGTTGAAAACAATAGCCTGCTTGTGTCACTGTCTGAATCTATATTAAAGATCTCAAGTGATTCAAGTAATGCCATTAGCCTAGTGCATGCTCATCTGTGATCAACGTTAAGGCATTAGTCTATGTATTCTAAAGCTATTATAATTCCAAACTATGTGCCTTATTTGTCTATGAGATGTGTGATTTCTGTTTTCAGCAATAACAACATAGGTATTCTTGTTGTCATATGTGCCTAGAAGTTTGATTTTCAAAACCTATTCATATGTGTGCTTCACTTATTTAATGTTGAGGTATAGGGATTGTTCTATGTGTCCATTTTTGGGTTATTTTTCTAAGGAAAGTAGGCTCATGTGGTGGGAAATGTCCTAGCGGTTGGTTTGCACTAAGAAGGCCTCATTGGCATTCAAACATATAGGGAAGAGTTAGTCGTTAGTGGTTAAAGGTATTTGGGAATAGAGTTTTACTTTAGGTTGTGCTGCTCTCCCCGGCACAAGCATTGCCCTGGGCCTCGAGACCCTTGGGAACTTTGAAGTATCGGGGGATTCATAAGGGGCATCGGCCTTGAGTAGAACTCTCTTCTTAGCCTTTAATTCATTGACACTAATTACTCTCTTTGGGTTTGGTGTTTAATGGCAACGAAAGGTATTCAATGATTCTACACAACCTCCACATTAGCATGATTTCCTTAGCATTTAGGTAATGTTAGTAATTTCTTCTTTTAATCTTTGCTTCATATGATTTCCTTAAGCATTCTATCTGTAATTGTTTGTCTTTGATTGCGAATTTTATATATATATATATATATATATGGATGCAATACTGTTATTTTAATGACCTTCTCTTTTATTTTGGGGCATGTACAAATGATTTGGGCTTGTTGAGTTCTTCAACTCAGGCTCAAGTCCAGCTCTACTGTGGTCCGAGGGTTTGCCTTCGCTCGTCATTTGCTACTGTTGGGCCTATCCTTTGAGGCCCAAACCTCCCAGAATCACTCATTTCCTTTTATCTCTTTATTTACTATTTTGCTATTCCTTAGTTTGCACTGTGTCATTGCTCGTTGTTGTTCCCTGTTTGTTATCTCTCATTATGTATGTGACAAGTATATATATTGGATTGAATGACTTAGGCAAGCCTAAAGAACTTTGGATTAAAAAGAAGCCTTAGTTAGCAATTAATTTCATATCTGCTAATCACAGGTTGTTATTAAGATGTCATGCTTTACTAACTCTTTTTTTCTTAAAGAATTTTGAAGCCCAAAGGCTTAACAAATGCAGTTATCCCTCTTTCAAAAAAAAAAATCAAACCAGAATCGTCGTGATTTTAATCTTCTAAAAGGGAATCAACTATTTTCGAAAGATTAAGGCGTTGCTGCCCTAAAATAAAGGGTTTTCAAACGATTTTCTACTTCAGAACCAAGGTATATTTTTAAAATCATTTTCATAACATTTTTGTCACGTTAGAATGACCGGAACCTCCATGATTTAGGACACAAAAGGCTTTAACTTAATTTCCTTTTCACACTTACACAAACGTTTTCATCTTTCAAAGTTTTCTTTTTAAGCTTATATATACGAACACTAATTTCCAAAAGACTTTCCTTTAAATCCATCTCCTTTAAACCACACTTCCCTTTGTAGAAATTATGGTAAGCTTTACCCTCAGAACACTAGTTATGGCATAGTACAAATAATTAATTCCAATTCTAGTCTAAGTCCTATGAAGCTACCTCAGGTAAATTTTAAGGGGTGTCTAACACCTTACCCTTCGAAGAACAAGAACCCTTACCCATGATCTCACCGGTTAGTAAGACCAATAAAGAATACAACCTTTAGTAATTAAGTAGGTACTCTAGTATACCTTTAAATATTAGGTGGTGACTCTCTTTCATCAACAGCAAAGAAACCACAAGTTGAATCTTGTTTTGACTAGTGCAAAATAGGGTGCAACAAAGACCGATTATGTGAATGTCAATGAAGTAATAAAAATGAATGTAAGGTACTGAAAAAGCTGTTAGTAACACCAAAATCAATGAAGATGAACTGGTCTAAGACCCTAGGCTGTTTTACAGGGTGAAAGGTGAATAGATTTGTTATAAACCTAGTGCAAAAAATGGATGCGCCCCTCTGTATCCACCACTAGTAGACGGGTATCACGTAGCATGTTTGTCAAGGTTCTCCATCAGATTAAAACTAGCTTTTAAGGAAATCATTGTATGTTAAAGCAGTACAAGAATCTGCGGGTAAGTCATATCAAGTTGAGCAACAAAGCCGATAATAATCTTTCTTAATTGCCAGCATGAATAGAGGTTGACAACCATATCAGAAAAAAAGCATTTTTGCATTCTAAATATATCAAGAATTGGCATTGGTATGCCCTTGATAAATGATAAGACACCAGGAAATCAACCAAATAAGGAAAGAGCCGTCAAAGGGAACAGTTTGTTCCTTCAATTTAAATGGCAATGCAAATGAGAAATGGGTAAAACTACATAAACTACTTGAACATTAAATATGATTACCTATCAGCAAAGCATATTTAGAAATTATTGACAAACTGCAATAATTTCTAGACCTTCACCTTCCCAGTCAACCTACGTTTGTTGCGCCAGCTGTTCCTATCATCATTCATTTGATACTTCTTAGCAGCAACTGAGCACTGATCAGCGCGACTACCTTTACCAGTCATTACAGACTGAAGTTTACGCCTCCTCATTCTGTTCTCTAACCTTAGTCCTCTTAATGCTCTAACTCTCTGCTCAATCTCCAAAGCTTCTGAGAAGTTCCAGATCCTAACAACACCTTCTTCTCCAGCACACACAATACGATCAGGACCAACATCAACAGCAAACAGATTGCTTCCAAATCCATGTAGCATTCTTTGAGGTGGCTCTACATTTTTAACGCAATTGTTAATCTTTGAAGGCTTCTCCATCACATAACTCCGCTTTGTCCTCAACAGCTTTCTCACATCAATAAGTGATAATTTTCCATCACTAGAAGCTGAAACAAGCCAAGGGAACTCAAATGCAAGAGAATAAACAGCACCAGAGTGAGGAATCCATGTTGCTACATGCCTGACATGAAACTTAACATTTCTAATGATCTCAAACATGTGTATAGCTCCATCTTCCCCTCCACTGAATAGGAGCTTCCCTGTGAGACTTCGCGCCAAAGAAAAAGCATCACCAGCATGAACATTGGTGACAATAGCAAGTTTTGATCCGCTATTAGTGTCCCAGACATAAAGATCTGAACCTGCAGTGCTCGACACTGTTGTATCATAGGGAGAAAGGCTCCAAACCCAGTCATTATGCATTAAAACTTCCAAACATTTCAAAGAAGATCGATCCCAAACACGTATGCTCATGTCCCATGAACCACTGTACATCTTATTTAAATCCAATGCAAGACATGTTATTGGGCCTTCATGTTTCCAAACTCTGAATTCCATGTTCTGGTTCTGAGGTGATCGAAGATCAAAGAGATGTGGATTTCCATCCTCTGCTCTCCAGCCATGTATAAATCCTTCTGTACCCCCTGCCACTAAGAGCCTTGAATCAGCTGCAACTGCACGAATTGTGCAGCCAAGAGGGCGAGATGATGCAATGGATAAACCTTCTTCCAGGTCCCACATTCTTACTATCTGATCATACCCTGAAGTAAACACAAGCTTCTTTGAAGATAAAACAACAACAGTTCTAACAGCCTCAGTATGACCATGCAATGTATCGATACTATAGCGTCCCATGAATGTTTTACTACGGAATTCCCTCTCCACGAAAAGCTCCTTCCACGACTTCTCATCCACATGCTCTNGGGAGCAAGGCTCCAAACCCAGTCATTATGCATTAAAACTTCCAAACATTTCAAAGAAGATCGATCCCAAACACGTATGCTCATGTCCCATGAACCACTGTACATCTTATTTAAATCCAATGCAAGACATGTTATTGGGCCTTCATGTTTCCAAACTCTGAATTCCATGTTCTGGTTCTGAGGTGATCGAAGATCAAAGAGATGTGGATTTCCATCCTCTGCTCTCCAGCCATGTATAAATCCTTCTGTACCCCCTGCCACTAAGAGCCTTGAATCAGCTGCAACTGCACGAATTGTGCAGCCAAGAGGGCGAGATGATGCAATGGATAAACCTTCTTCCAGGTCCCACATTCTTACTATCTGATCATACCCTGAAGTAAACACAAGCTTCTTTGAAGATAAAACAACAACAGTTCTAACAGCCTCAGTATGACCATGCAATGTATCGATACTATAGCGTCCCATGAATGTTTTACTACGGAATTCCCTCTCCACGAAAAGCTCCTTCCACGACTTCTCATCCACATGCTCTGCGCCCAAAGGTGCCAGCAATATTGGCTGCCCCCACCTCTCATAATAGAACTCCTTCCACACATGGAGCTCAGAAGCAAGACGATACAATGACGTATTCACACAAGAAACAATGCCAAGTTCCTTCGGTTCTAAGCAATTAAGTATTTCTGAGATCAATGCCGGAGGAAGGTCAGTAATAGACCGACAATCAAGCAGAACCTCCTTAACAGCGAGCGACTCCTCGCATTTCAAACTCAAACTAGCACCTTTCCCATCCAATCTCCTCAGTGACTTTTGTTTCTCTGAGTCAAATGCGAAACTCTTACTGTTCTTTGAAGGTTCAATAAAAATAGAATCAGCTTTTCCTTTGCAGGGGTAGTCTACACAATTTATAGAACAATCTTTCAAACCAATCTTAGTACCTCTTTGGCATTCAAATTCCATAAAATTGGTTCCCCTAAACCTAAATATTCAACAGTGGAGCCCTAAAACAAATTTTAAGAATCAGCAAAAGCCCAATATTATTGCAAAGAAAACAGCAAGTTATTCACGCCTTAGAAAAAAGACCCCAATTGAACCTTTACAAGACATTAAACACTGTTCAAGAACAAAATTTGTAGAAAGACCCAAGATTGCAAGACAATCCCCTACAGAGAAAATTAATTCCTATAAACCCAAAAAAAACTGAACAAAGGGATAATTTTTTCTTTTTTGTTAAAAAAAAAAGGG